ACTATATTTATTTTGGTTGGCTTTCTTAGCCTTCCAAGATGACAAAAATTCTACCTTGGCATTCCCCATCTCTCACTTAGTGTCATCCATAAAGAAAAAGTTTTCCTTCCATCCTTTAATGGATGAAGGACCCGCTGTAAATAAAGTCCTACTTTCCTTATTTGACACTCTAGGGGTAAAATAATGCCACCCCTTCTCCTTCCTACTTCCCCCCTTTAGAACAAAAAAATATTTGAACATATTTACAGTTGGCACACTAACCCCTTGAGCTCGGCAATAAACTAAAAATCCTATTATTACCCTCATAGCATTGGGGGCTAATTGTGTCAACCCTATACTACAATCTAACAATAACTCCACCAGCAACTCAGGAATTGGAAACCTAAGCCCCGTTGTTAAGTAATGGGCATACATAGGCATCCAATGATCCCGAGGTGTAGAACATGCCCTTTCCTCTACCCCAGTAGGCCTAATTAACAATCGAGAAGAAATTTCATAACTCTCTACTAAATAACCCAGGTTATCCCTAGTTCAAAATTTAGACTCATACTGCCTCACTTCAGACACAACATCTGCCTCAACATTATAACACCTTTCATTTCTACCCTCCACTTCTACTACAGTTATGGGAACCCTATCTCCCTCAACCCCAGCCATCTCACTTCTTCCTACCCCCTCCTTTGTCCTCTCTGAGTCAGATGACTCACTAGTCATACCCACATTACCATACTCCAACGCCCTCACTTCCTCGCTTCCCCCAATGCTCAATGTTTCTTTAGAAGACATCTCTTCAAATTTGATAACTTTCACTGCATGCAGTAGGGGGCAAATGAAGTCAGGATCTTCAAAAAACTCTAGGTCACGCTCACCATCACTCTCGCTCCTAAACTTAACTTCCTTCAAAGGACTTAGATCTAAATCAGAAAGGATGGAGTAGAAGAAAACATGTTCTAAAATCTAAATCACCAAAACTCATACGTTACCTGATCTTGGTCTTGAAAGATTGATGTAGAAGTCCACAAAGAATGAAACAGTCCAGACGCAAGAACATAGTAGAATTTTGGCAGCAATTCGGTAGAAAATACAGCACAAGTAAAACTCTTTTTACAGAAGTATAGCTATATATACCAAAGAAAATATATGCCTCAACGACTTTGATTAATTTTATCTAACGGTCACGATTGTACCATTTCGAATTCAATGGTTAATCCCTCATAGAACCTTCATGAATTCGACAGTTTGTTTTCCATTCCATCTGTTTAACTGTAGCAGTTATTTTTCCTAGTGCATATTTATTGTACACGTCTTTCAACAGATAGCTGTCACGTCTTTAGTCATGTCATGTACTAACTCTACGTCAGACTTTTTAAATGGGCCCAATTAAGCCCAACCCAAGACTTTTGTTCACTTTCACACAATAATAATTTTCAATTTTACAAGTGTTTCACCTCGGGTATTCTCAACCTATACTTTTTACTTCTGCCCTAGCCACAATGACTCCAGTCATTACTTATTACTTTGGCTTCGACCATAGTGACCACGTGTCACATATTTTACTTCAGCTCTAGCCATAGTGACCTTGTGTCACATATATTACTTTAGCTTTGGCTATTATGATCACGTGTCATATTTCATTTTGGATATGGCAATGGTGACCCCGTGTCACATATTTTACTTTAGTTACGGCCATACACGAATTTGAATTACCAATTTTTATTTTAATTATGACTCTAGTAACTCAACTTTAAATATTCTTTCACTCCTCTTTTCACCTAATTATACACTACTCCTACCACCTTTAACAAACATCATTCACAAGTGAATGACTTCGAGGGGGGAATAGTGTAAGGATCGATCTGAAGTCCTTAACCTCGGATGTACTGCTACAGTTCCTTAATAACCGAAGTGAAGTTAAACCCAGCACTTCTCGATTAAATGGCTGCATGATAAATACAGTGAACATGCCCACACTTGATTTACATAATTTCTCAGTCCTGAAATTATCGCCTGAAGGAACATGTCACACTCTGATCATTTTGTTAAGTAAGCCACGTGGACACCTCACTAAGGCCTATAAATACCCCTTAGGGGCTACCTCAAAAAGGTAATTGAAACCAACCTAAAGCTCCTTTTTCCATTATTCTAAAGGTAGATTCGATTATTGCTGACTTAAGTAATCGAGTATCTACCCCGAGAATCCACCTCGAGGCTTTGCAGGTTCATCCGGAGTGAACAGGTGGACTGAAGAAAGATCTTTGGTTTGGTGCAATTACAAAATAAAAAAATCTGAAAATAATAAAAAATAATGATGTTTTGGTAGTCAAGCCCTAAGATGTCCAAAGTGCCATCTTTTGATTATATATAGAGGGGCAAGGCTTAATTTGCCTTGAATTTCACTTTACTTAATTATTTGTTGATAAAAAATAAACCTTTATAAACTTCTTTAAATTCTCATAATTTCTTGATGCGAGATCTTAAACATTTACAAACTATTCAACACTAATTTGCATTTTGATTTTGCTATTGGAGTGCATGCCATATATCAAATAATATCATGTACTATATTTTATTTATCGTTATAAATATATATTTTTATAAATTAAATATAAACTTTTGTAATTATACTTAAAAATATAAAGATATATTATAATATTTATATAGTATTAAAAAATAAACTATAATTAATTTGGCATAATAAGATAAGTCAAATCCACCATGTATAACTCCATCTCCCATTTATCTTTTAGAAGACTAAAATCCTTGTTGAGTTTTAACCTATAAACGTTTCTTCTTCTAACTCTTCTTTTTCTTAAAAACTTTCATTTTCTCACTCAATATTTTGAAGAAGTTTTGTATCTATTACTTTTAACAATTGTTATGGCTAGCCTTTTTTTCATGCTTTAATATTGTTAGGCTTCAAAGGAAATTCATATTTTTTAGGTTCTCTTTTCATTTTTTTTTGTTTTATATTTTAGGTTGCATTTTTGTGTTTAAACAATAATTGGTATACACTTCAGTTCAATAAATTATTCAATACATTTATTAAAAATTATTATTTTCTAATTTGAAACTAAAGAGAGACAAACTTAAAAATGCAAACATGCATACAGTACACATGAACTGATTGAATCGGATTGAACGTATATTATATTTTAATGACTTAATCACACAAATATAAGAAAATATATTGAATCGAGTATATACCAATCGTTTTTCTTTTATGTTTAAGCCTTTTTCCTCCTTTCCTTTTACGATTTTTTCTAACTTGTGTGTTCTTTATCTATACCACCAATACATTAAATTTCAACTAGTACAACCAATATTTGACCGATACGATCAATATTTGACTGATACAGTTGGTATTTGACCTGAGATAGTATTTAAAATCTATACCAATTTTACTCCTAAATCAGTATGTATTGACTACACCAGACATTATGGTACGAGATCAACAACCTTGACTCAAACCCAAATCTAGGTTCAAGCAGAAACCCAAAATAATTCATCTTGGGTTCATTTGCGAGCCTAGATATGAGTTCGTGCTTGAACTAACTCTTGGGTTTGTTCATAAGCTTAGATTTGGGTCCCAACATGGATCTAGAAAAAAAAAAAAAGAAGAGAAAAGATGAAATCAATGGGAGAAAAAGAGAAGTGGATGCCAAAAAAGGAAAAGGGAGGAAGAGGTCGCTAGAGAAAAGGAGGAGAAGGAGTTGCTAGTAGAGTTAATGAAGATGAATAGGGAAGAGATGGAAATTGGGGAAGAAGATAAAGGGTTTTTTTTTTTTTTTGGCCGAAAGCTAAACATATATTTATGAACAAAATAAAGAGTGCCCCATAAACACAACATCCACTCCACCTACTAACAGAAACTACACAAAAGCTATAAAAATAGAAACATCAGACACATCATAAACAAAATACAGGGTAGGAAACATCAAGAAAGATGTCAGTGACTCAAGCCCCACAATGAAGCTTATCACAAGCTTGGTCATTATTCCACTCCTCAAACAATGATGAAGAGAGACAAGAGATGTGCTCGAGAACTCATAATCGTTAATCCAAAAAAACACTGGGAAGAAGATAAAGTTAAGAGGGCATTTATGTGATTTAAATGGTTTTTATTACTATTTTTGTTTATTTTAGTAATCTTAATTTGATTTTTTGATTTTTTAAATATAAATTGCAAATAAAAATCTAGCAATATCAATAACAATTAAAAAGTTTTTTTTATTCCTTATCATGTATTTTTATTTGATAAAAAATTATTATTATTATTTATATAGAAAATTTTATTTAAAATTTATGTTTAAAAAAGTTAAAAAAATTAAAAAAATCAAATTAAGATTATTAAAATTGATCTGTGTGAGTATTTATTTATAGAGGTTGAGAGAGACTTGGCTTTCTTATTTTCCACTTAAGCTAAATATATTACTAGTATTTAGATTTATCATGTCATCAAAAAGTGTTATAATGGATTGGGTTAATTAATTAATGAAAAAAATAGAAAAAATATGTTTTATAAAGCTAAAGAATTAAAAAAGTATGTTAACGACTTATTAATTAAGTTGAAAGGAGTTTAATTTTTCTTAAACAAAGTTTAAAATAATTTATGATAAAAAAATATTAAAAATTAAATTCAAATACTAAAATTACAACATTTAACCTTTCTTTAGCCTAACTTATCATATATGTTTATCCTTCCCTATTGTCTCGTGAACGGTGACGATCACCAAATAATAAATTGTTAATGACATATAAATTATTAAACTTTTTAAATATTAATTTTATTTAATTTAATAGTTAAAAACATTAACAGTTTTACAATTAGTGAAAGGAAAAAGAAAAAAGAAACCGAGAAAAAGAAAAAGAAAAAGAAAAAGTTTCCGGTTTGTGTGGCTCGCGGCAACCATTCCCAATTTTCTCAATTTATCCACTTTCCGGTTTCAGATCTTACTTTCCTATCTTAACTTCCTCATTTTTTTCTCAACTCTCAACTCTCAGTAAACTCAGTTTCTTCGTTTCTGTTTTAGTTTTCAAATCAATTTATCCGGCCCAATCTACAAACTCCACGCATCCCTCTCACCTTTTCTCTCATCCGCCGGTAGTCTCGGACACAGATTTCTTTGCTCTTCTCTACTTTCACTGCTCGGATTCCTTCTCTTCTCGTCCTCACCGCACGCACCTGCCACCAGCAGGGCACACATACACAGGTGTTTCCTCACGTTCTATTCTCTCTGCCATCTTCTACCTGTGATCTTCCTCCACAAGAATAATCGCCACAAGAAGAAGGCAAACGTCCTCCGGGAAATCTCAAACCGCCAGAAACCGAGGGAATATATTGGAAATCTTAACCGCCAGAATTCAGATTGAAGTGATTTGTTAGAGGTAGGAATTTCCATTTTGTTTTTATAAGTTGAAATGATCAATGGTAAAAAGATCCTCAATTTACATCCAACACTGCTCCTACTTAACTCTTTTTTTTTTTTTTTTTAACCATCATAAGAAGAGTACTGAGGAGTTGATTTACTCACCACAGGAAGAGGCAGGGTTCCTTTTCTTCCTGCTGGGGCCAGAGAGTGTTGACAAAGTAAAAAAAATGTTAAAATACCAATTTAGTTACTCAACTTTCAAATTTATATTAAGATTATTTCTCAATTTCAAAAAATGTTAAAATTATCTCTGAATTTTAATTTTCAACCCCAAAAAAATCTTTGATTAATAAAAATGTAATATATTTTTATTTACATATTAAATTAATATATGTTTAAAATTAAAAGACCAAATTAATAATTATCTTCAAAATTTAAAGATTAAATTAATGTTATATTCAAAGTTTGGAAACTGTTTTGATACTGAAAATTAAAGTTTAAGAGTAATTTTAATATTTTATAAAATTTAAAGATAATTTTAATATAAATATAAAAATTAAAGGAACAAATTAATACTTTAACCAATAAAGGGGTGCATTTTTCTAGTTATTCAAGTTTTTTAGTTTGTTTTCCTAAGGAAAAATCAGTGCTACATATCGGCTTCCACAACACAATTTTTAACATTCTTGACTTTTAAAATATAGTATAAATATAATTAATTTTCATATTTTAAAATGATAATTTTTTGATAAATATATTTTGTATTGTATTAAAATTGTAATATGTGTCATTTATTGTCAGTTTTACTGGTGTTGTGAAAAAGAATTGTGTTTTTAGTTTTTTATGGTATTTTTGTTGTGTATTTAACTCCTTTTTGAATCTCAGATTTCTCTGCTTCTATAGTTTCCTGAAGTTGGTTAAACTTTGTTGGAACCCTTTTTCTTTGATATATTTTACAAAAGTTACAACTGGAAAAGCGAATGAATTTTTCTGCGCAATTATTATTATTATTTTTTCACTTCGCCACTCATATATTCTAGTTAATGTTTTCTATTTTCTATTCATATGTAATATTGTGCAGATATTTGTTCTTTAAAACAATGACGAAGAAAAGGAGAAAAAGCTGCTCAAGCAGATTTTGAAATTCATTGAATTGACAGGATTGGGAGATAAAATGGTGATGTAGAACATTTAATGCAAAGTAACTTGATCAATAAGATGCATCAACACCATTTGATTTAACCTGGGACCTTTTTTCCTTGTAAACATGTAAGGTATTTTAAACTGTGAATGAGTAGTCTTCTCTTGAGTAAGTAATAAAGCATCTATGCCAAAAGAAGCCCTAGTAAGAACTGCATCACCTGCTATCAATCTTGCTAATCAAAGTTTTCCACTGTGTTTTCCCTAAAAAGAATTTTCCTTGATTTTCATCAATAGATTCCATGATCGCATGATATGTTGCCCGTTGATCATCATTTAGATTGCGCAACCAATAGATTTCATGATTGCATGATCCTTGCATATAGGTGCTCATATTCAATGGTCAACTCACTGATGACACTATCCTGCAGATGCCTCATTAATTTAGAGTGAGGAAGAGGTAATCCCAACTCTTTCAGTGAAGCCACCATCTCATTGAGTATTTTTTCAAGTTCAAAAAAAGTACAGTTCTAAATTTTCTCATCTGATAATTATAAATCAAGCAATTTAAGCACACGTTACTGTTTTCGCACAGCATCTTCTAACAAAAGTTGCCATGATTTATGTTACAACTTAAGATTACTTGCGACTTCACATTCTTTTAAAATAATTGCAACCAAAGTTTGCATCTTTGATCTCCATAGTAATTGTCTTGTTTGATCAATACCTCTAGCCATTGGTAGCTATCTAACCTCACTCACTTGGACTTGAGCAACTACAGTTCGGTAGATATTGTGCCAGTGGAGATAGGGCAATTGACAGGGCTTCAGCATCTTAGCCTGTCTAACAACAGTTTAAATGGTAGCATCTCTTATCAAGTTAGCCATCTTCAAAAGGAATGTTACTTGGACCTTGGATGGAATTACTTTACAGATCTTGATTAGTGCAAGTTTTCAGACATGCCTTTGATGATTCATCTTGTATTTTCTACTGATGCATTGATATTAGTTTCCCCTCCTTTAATCAAGTTGGCCCTCTTTGAAAGGAATATTACTTAGGCCTTGGATGGAATTACTTAATAGATCCTGATTGGTCCAAGTTCTCAAACACATCTTTGTTAATTTTTTTTCTTTTAAACTGTGAAAGAACTTTCTATTAATGGATTACAAGGGGTTCTCTTACCCATTCATACATATAACATTTCTAACTTCCCATTTACAAACACATAGGAAATCCAAATTAATCAAACTATCAATTCTAGCAAAAGTTCAACATTTACTTTTATACTTCCTAACCTTTTCTCAGATCAATTTCACATATTGTTTAAGATTTGCTACCCATTTTGATAAAAAGAAAAGATCCATCCATAATCTTGCTATTTGTTCAATGGTATGGCCTTGGTTGTACCAGTCCCAATAGTTTCTCAATATCTATTTTAGTACCTTGAAAAATTGTGTCATTCCTACTCAACCATATGGTCCATATGAGAGCAAACCAAACTACTCCCCACCCTACATTAGGTGTCCTTCTTTCAGCCTACCAACAATGTTGTATGAAAGGAGTGTAAGGTGCATGAGACTTCCCACTAGTTTAAGCACATCAACCATAGCTTACAAGTTACAAGGCATAATAATAACAGATGATCACTGTTTTCAACATATTTGCACATAGCTTACATAGTCAACCAATTTCAATATTAAGAATTCATCTAACAATCAATTGGTCTTTTGTTGGCACTCTATTAAGAATGAATCTCCACATAAGAGCACATACCTTCTTAGGTACTAAAGCATTTCAGCACTTTGCAAATAGCCCTTTTTCTATTTGAGATGTAAAGATTGCTAAATATTTGTAAGCCAACTTAGCTGAATAACTTCCATTTTTCTTTAGTTGCCATTCCTAATTGTCCTCCATGCCTTACTAAGGTGACTTTCTTTGAAATAACTCACGGAATTGTTGCCCTATGCTTACTTCTCATTGAAAAAGTTGCCTCCTCCACTTAATGTTTCATTGCCATGAATCATTTGATTAGCAATCTATCTTAGTTTCTATTATCTCCTTATCTGTAGATAAAACATACAAGTTTAGGTATAATTGACATTACTTTCCAATTCCTACCTACTTATCTCTACAAAGAGACACTATTCTCCCATTTCCTAAAACCAATTTAAACTCCTTTTGAAACCACCCCTCCTTTCTTCCATATATTCCATCTATTCTACAAATATTTTTCCACCATTGTGAAGTATAGCTTACCTCCCTACCCATCTAGTGAACCTAACAAAATTAATCCACTGCATATTTAGCTTCCAACACTTGCCTCTAGACACCTTTTCTGTTATTAGCTATTCTACCACACCATTGTCCCAATAAGGCAATATTAAATGCTTTAAGATTTGTAATGCCTAACCCTCCCAATGTTTTTTCTTTATACACTTGCTCTCAACTAATCTTTCTTTTCTCCTTTTTGCCCCCCAAAAAATCCCTTCCTAATTGAGTTTAAAGCTTTTACTACTTCATCTGGCATAAAAAACAGTAACATCATACATACTGGAAGGTTGCTAAGCACATAATTAATCAGGACAATTCAACCACCCTAGGATAGATTTCAGGACTTCCACATGGACAGCTTCTTGAAAATTTCAATGAGAAATTTCCTAGACTCTAACCTCATCATGTTTGCTCGTATTGGGATGCCTAGGTACTTAAAGGGAATATTTCCAATCTTATAGTTAAGCACCATGGCCATTCTAGCAAGCTAATCCTCATCAATGTGAACAACCATTAGCTTGCTTTGATTGTAGTTAATCTTCAATCTTGAGACTAGCTCAAAAGTTCTCATAAATTCTTTTATGGCATGCAAATTATGCTTTGATGCCTTTACAAAAATTATAGTATCATTTGCAAAGTGGAGATGTGAAACTATTTACTTCCCTACTCCAATTTGTACACCTTCAAGTAAACCTTTTTGTAGAGTTGACCTCATTATCTAATTAAGACCTTTAGCCACAATTAGAAATAGAAAAGCAGAAAAGGAACCCTTTGTCTCCAACCTCTATTCATAGAAAACTCCCTTGTTGGGCTTTTTTTTTACCAAAATAGATGTTTTGCTTGTTTTTAGGCACTCCTACATCCAACTTCTTCAAGTTTCTTCAAAACCTATCTGTCATTATAAAATTAAAGAAACCTCAACTCATTTTGTCATATGCTTTCTCAAAGTTTGCTTTGAAATTCAAGAAACTTCATTTCTTCTTTATAATCTCATTAATTTACTCATTAATGACAACCAGTCCACCCATTAATTGCCTCCCTTTAACAAATACTGATTGTTGCTCTCTTATTACTCCATCTAGGACCTTTCTTAATCTATTAGCCAACAACTTGGAGATGATTTTGTACAGGCACCTAATCAAAGAAATAGGCCTGTAATTCTCAACTTAAATTGGGTTTTCCTTATTTGGAATCAATGCCATAAATGATGAATTTGAGCCTTCCACCAATTTGCCATTTTTTGAAATTCATCAACTAGTTGACAAACATCATCCTTTATTGTTTCCTAGGAAGCCTTAAGGCATCCAAAGTTGAACCTATCCAAGCCAATAACTTTAGAACTACTACAATTCTTGATAACTCATTTTATTTCTTCTTTACTAAAACTAGCAATAAGCATCTTATTCTCTTCACTGGAGATTTGTTTGAAATTAATCTATTCTAAGGTTGGTTGAGACCAACCTTCATCCATAAACATTTGCTTAAATAAGTGGTCAGTTCATTCTTAATCTCATTCACCTTCTTTAAGTCCTTCCCATTAGTTTTTACACAATTAATTTCATTTCTCATCCACCTCCTTTTAATGCCTTAATGAAAGAACTTCGAGTTTTCATCCCCTTCTTTCAACCAAGTTTCCTTGAATTTTGTCAAAGCATACTTTCTTTGCATTCCAATAGTTGCCAAAGCTTTACACTCTTTGTTTTTTTGGCTTTAACATCCTCCTCAAGTAACAACTATGATTTGCCTTTTAAATCAAGTGCTTCAACCTCATGCCTAACCACTTCAAGTTCATCATCTTGATCATGAAACTTCTCCTTCAATTTTTCAAAAAAAAAAAAGCTTTCATCAACTTTAGTTTCTGTTTTAACTAAAAACTCCCCAATCCTCCATTTCAAAGGATTTTCATTGTTTAGCAAATAAATTTTGGAAACAAAGAAACATCATCCACACATCAAAAAATTGAAAAGATTTTGGCCCCCAATCTATAATCTTCATTTTCATAAGGGTTAGGTAATAATTTGAGACTGATCTACTTAGTCCCTATTCCTTTAGTCCCTTCCAATTCAACATCCATTTATTGGAGACCGAGAATCGATCTAGGTAACTCATAACAATACCATTCAATTAGCATAAAGTGTAACTCCTTCCAATAAGTGCTAAATCCACTAGGATATTATCTTTTATGAAGTTGTCAAATTCTTCCATTTCTCTCGTCACTCTCATGCATCCCTTCCTGTCAAACTCAAATCTTATTGCATTAAAATTCCTCATAAACACCATTTTTCCTTGGATGAACTGATTAAATTACCTAGATCATCCCACAACCTTTTTTTCCTTACCAAATCACATGCTAAGTACACATTCACCAAGAGACATGGTATGGCTTTTGAACCTCAAAAGTCGAATACATAAAACCTATTCCTTCAAAAACTTTCTTCTTCTTAAAGATTTTGCAACTCTAGATGCACAACAAGCCCTTTTACATTCTAACTGTAGACTTCCTTACACAACCAAAATCTTTAAAATGCTATATTGCTCTACATAAGTGCTTATCAACAGTTTAAATTTTTGTTTCTTAAAGAAAAGAAAATCCACCTTCTCCTTATTAATCAATCTTAATTCCCCTTTTTCTTCCTTTTACCTTGTCTTTTTATATTGTAAGAGAGAGGAATCATTGATGAGTCTCATTACCTTTCTCTAACTCTAGATGTCTAGACTTCACTACTACTGCTTGCTTCTATCTCTAATCCCTATCTCTAATCTCTAATCTCTATCTCTTGTAGTTTTCCCAAAATAGTCACGTCTTCACTTACAGCCACCACACCCAGTTCTTTTGTAAATTCCCATACCTCCTTAGTAGTATCTTTCCCAACCCTTAATTTCAAGCAGTTATTACAATTAGCAATCCCACTATCATACAAAGACTCATTAACCACTTGTTTTGGTCGATTCGTAAGGAAAATTGGTTTTGCATCAACCACCATGCTTTTTCTTGGTCTTACAATTGGAAACACCTATCGTTTAGATCAAAAAATCAGTTTGAAAATAGTGAAAATTGGGGTGTATAAAGGCTCACATTTCGATCGGGAACTAGCTTAAGCCAAACCAAAAACGGTCTGAATAATTACAATTTCCAAACCAACAATGGTTTGAATATACATGACAATTTCAGACTGAGAATGGTTTGAAAACTATTGGCCTTAACTGCGAAATTGAAAAACTATGGTCTTCGTTTAGGTATGTTGAAACTATTTTTAGATGGTTATTGGTTTGAAAATTATTATATCGGAAGTTGTTTCAACGTTTCTATTAGATGTTATCCAAACCAGTTTTGGTTTGAAATATAATGGCATGACAAAAAAAAAAAAAAACTTAATATATTACATGTCTAAAAAATTTCCCAAAAAATATTTTTCCTCCATACAAATAGTTACACATTATAAAAACTAAAAGTAATATATGACATACTAAATGATATTTACATGTATAGTATTTCTTATATTAAAAATAAAATATACAACATATGCTAAGTTAAAAATAAAACACCACCATAATAATTGAAATTATAAATGAAAAATAAAATAGAAAATACTTAAATGCTTAAATATAATTTCAAAAAAATTAATAAAAATCTATAATATATACTACAAATAATATAAAAAATAATGCTCAAACCTATTTTTATACCTTGTAAATTTAATCATTTCCTACATGATGGGAATCAAGATGACCCAACATGTACCACATCAAGAGATCCATTACACATTCCAGGAGGTCTGGTCATGAGAGCTAGAGCTAGGAAGATGCGAGAAGCTTTAAATGGCCTTATTGAGCAGATCTGGGTTGAGAACAACATGCAACAAGTGAATTAAAGCTTGAATGATTATCAAGGCATGATAAACATCATTAAGGTTCAAGAGAAGCTTAATTGAGGTCATTTATGCTAAATTACACAGTTGGCGTCAAAATCCTACAATTCTGTCGCAATTTGTAACAAACTGATATTTCATGTTACTTTAGGTTACTTTTAGTGATTTTCACGTTTTTTATATTATTTTGGGCTGAACATTCATTTATTTATGGCCCAATTCGTGATTATTATGATTAGAGTTTAAGGTGTTAGTTTCCTATTCTGATTAGAATTACTTTTCCCTATTTAAAGGGCTGGTAACCCTAATTGGGGGGAAAGCTATTGAATTTGAGTTTTTTAGAGACTTTTTTCTTTGGTTCATTTCAGAACTTTATAGAACTTATCAAGATTATTCTTGTGGCGTTCTAACCTGACTTATCATTCTCATTCTTAATCGCTCGAGGGTGTGGCGTCAACCAACTTTATACCTCTAGATCTTGTTGCGTCATAGACAACGGGTCAAAGTTTTTACCTTTGGTTCTTGTTGTGACATAAACAACGGGTCAAGGTCCTATTATAAACCTGATTTAGCTTTTTTGGAGTTTAGAAATCCCTTGTCGTGCTGTGGGTCTCATCGTTTTCTTTGGGGTTCTCATCATCATGGTATTAAAGCATTAGATCCCTAAATCAGGTTTGCATATCTTTAATTTTAAGTTTTTATCTCCAAAAAAAGAAAAATTTCAGTGTCATGCTTCTTTTTCTTATTTTGCCCTTCTGAATCTGTGTTACTGGTTTAAAAAAAAAAAAAGAGAGAGAGGGACAAAAAGCGCAAAAAAAGAAAAAGAAAAAAAGTCGTACAAAAAAAAAAAGGAAAAGGATCACTAAAAGAAAAAAAGACGCAAAAAAAAAAAAGGAGAGAGAGAAACAAGCAACACAATTCTGTGGTTGGAATTCCTTATATAGAGAAGAAATCTGTGGTCAAATCCTTAAAGAAGAAGGAATCCTACTCCAATAAGGAGTTAGAAATTCTCTTTGAGTTCTATTTAAACAAAGAGATAGCAATTTTGTTTATTCCTTCCTAAGTTAGGAATCCTACTGCACTAAGGAACAATCAAGTCAATTCCTACTAGGAAGTGCTTGAACTGATCTGATCATTTTAATTTGTTTGGGTTGGTTCTTTTATGGTTTAAGTATCATTTTGGTCCCTCAACTTTTCACTTTGGTACCAAAATTATCCCTCACCTTTAAAAAGCACCAAAATTATCCTTAAACTTTCATTTTCGGTATCAAAACCATCCTTCCGTTAGTTAAATGGACAGGTGGCACATTAACTTGCCAACAAATCAATTTTTTTTTTCTTAACTAATGCCATGGCACCTTTATTTTATGAGTTGGCATTTTATTTTATTTAATTTAAAAATAATGATTTTTTTTCCATCCATGTCATCATGTCATCTCGTCTTCCTCTTTCACTTTCTCTCTCTTGTTGCTTCTTCTTCCTCTCCAAATCAAACCCAGATCTGGGTTTTTCTTAAACTCAGATGACTTCTTCGATACCACTAAAATGCAACAAAAGAGAAACTAAATCACAGTCTAACAATAAAACCTCCATGTCATCTCTTCTTCCTATTTCACTTTCTCTCTCTCTTGTCCCTTCCTCTTCCTCTCCAAATCAAACCCAGATCTGGGTTTTTCTCAAACCCAAATGACTCCTCTGACACCATTGAAATGCAACAAAGAGAAACTAAATCATAGTCTAAAAAAAAAACCTCAAATACATATTCGAATTTCATCAAACCAAGTCAACTCACATGGATGCAAATAAATCAAAAAGAAACAGTACCGAACCACTGGAGACTCGATATGTAGCAAACCAAAACCTAAAATGCTAGCGAAATCAACACAAAAACCAGCGAGCACTGGTTTAAAGAGAACCAAAAATTCTAGTTCCAGTTCCATCAAGACAAAGAAAAATAGCAAAATCAAGACCAAAAATCAACCACAAAAGTTTGAAAAAACAGAACAAAAACCACAAGAGTTCAAAAAAACAGAACAAAAATGAAGCTCTCATCAGTGGCTAGCTTGTTGTCTAAGTCTACAGTGAGCTAGATCCCGACGCATGTTACTAGGCGACGGCCGCCAAATTGGGGAATTCAAGCTTGCAGCTCGGTAGATTTGCGTGAGGGAGCAAGGAGCCGCGAGACCTGCAAGCAAGTGGGCAACACACAGAAACAGGAAACAAAGAAAACAAACATAAAACAAAAACCCAAAAAAGGCACCCCAAGGGCCTAGTCGCCGACAGACCTCATGGGGTCATCGGAGCAGGGAGCAGGTCGGCTCCATCAGGCTTGAGCAGCCAGAGAACCGAGCGGCTCAAGCAGAAAAACTCGAAAACCCAGCCGGAGTGGACATGCCATCGATTGTCCTTATTGGGTTGAAAGAACCCAGATCTGGGTTTGATCAAACCCAAATCTGGAGAGGAAGAAGAAGAGGGGAAGAGAGGAGATAGAGAAAGAATAAGAAAAGTTAAAAAAAGTCATGTGGGCCCCATTAAAAGGGAAAGTTTAAAAGGTGATAATATGATGTGTAAAAAAATATGCCATGTGTACAAAAAAAACATGCCATGGTAACAAAATTTTCATAGTTGGATTTACACGTCATTAAGATTCAAAAAGTCTAATGATTTTGTGGCATTTTAACGAGCCACCTGTCATTTAATTGACGAAAGGACCATTTTGGTACCGAAAATGAAAGTCTGAGGATAATTTTGGTGCTTTTTAAAGGTGAGGGATAATTTTGGTACCAAAGTGAAAAGTTGAGCGACCAAAATGGTACTTAAACCTTCTTTTATTGCTTTTCTTGGTTGTTCCTTTGTGTATATTTGTTTCCTTTAACTCTTGCAGATTTGTTGGAGTTAGATTGTTGCAAAATAACTTGAATTGAGCTTGTTGAGTTCAATAACGAACTAAAAGAGGGAAGTTCAGTGAGGGAAAAAGGCAAGAGGTGTGAGCAACACTTAAGAGAAAAGCCAAGTTCTACAGTGTGCAAAACATGAGCGTTGAGTGCCATTCTGTGAGAGAGTGGAGTGAAACAAGTAAGGGAGTGTTGTAAGGTCCTTTTATTCTTTTGTTTCTAACATTTGTTGCAGGTTTCAATCACGTCAAGCAGTGATGACAAATCAACCGCTAGAAGCCACCATGTGGATGAATCCTTCATGCTTAAAGCAATGCAACAACAATTTCAGAGGTTGGACATCATGTTTGGTGAGATTAAAGGCAAAATGGACAAGCAAGATGCAGCGATAGCCAAGTTATACCAAACACAAAATGGAAGTCCGAATTTGCGTAGGAATGATGCTAATGACGATTTCAATGACGATTATGAAGGTGCACTCAACAATGACGCCCAGAACTCAAATTTCAGCATGGACAGAATTATGAGAGGTGGAGGGGGCCAAAGAGGGCAAAATCTGATGAGGTGGGGAGATCGACAAGATCGTGACTTAGGTAACATCAAGATGAAGATTCCTCCGTTTCAAGGCAAAAATGATCCAGATGTGTATTTGGAGTGGGAAAAGAAGGTGGAATTGGTGTTTGATTGCCATAACTATTCTAAGGAGAAAAAGATGAAACTAGCAGCGATGGAATTAACTGATTACGCGATGGTGTGGTGGGATCAGCTTGTGCTTAGTTGACGTAGAAATCGAGAGCGTCCTGTTGACACTTGGGAAGAGATGAAAGCTGTGATGAGAAAGCGATTTGTTCCTCGTCACTACTACCATGATCTCTATCAGCGATTGCAAGGCCTTACTCAAGGGTCCAAAAGCGTTGAGGATTATCACAAAGAGATGGAAATCGCAATGGTTAGAGCGAATGTGGAAGAGGACAAAGAAGCAACTATGGCACGGTTTCTGCATAGCTTAAATCATGATATAGCTAATGTGGTAGAGTTGCAACATTATGTGGAATTAGAAGATATGGTGCATATGGCGATGAAAGTAGAACGGCAACTCAAGTGTAAAGGAGCCAACAGCAGAACTGGGCAAAATTCAGGTTCCTCATCTTCTTGGAAACTGAATTGGAGCAAAAAGGAAGAAAATTCTACTTTTAAGCCTAAAACTACAGCATCTAAGTCAAAAGAAGTTGGCAGCAATGAGAAGAGTAAAACAAATAATACGCAAGGCAGAAATCGAGACATCCAATGTTTTCGATGCTTGGGAAAGGGGCATGTTGCATCGCATTGTCCTAATAAGCACACAATGATCTTGAGAGAAGATGGAGAAATTGAAACTGAGGGTGAATCTAATGATGAATTTATGCCACCATGAGAAGATGCTAATGATGGTGTGGAATATGCTGTTGATGGAGAACAGCTCGTCACCAGGCGAGCTTTGAATGTGCAAGCCAAAGAAGATGATGAAGTACAACATGACAATATATTTCACACGAGGTGCCATGTTAAAAACAATGTATGTAGTGTGATTATTGATGGTGGCAGTTGTACTAATTTAGCTAACACTGTTTTAGTTGAAAAGCTTAATTTACCTATGACGAAGCATTCAAGGCCATATAAGCTACAATGGTTAAACGATTATGGAGAAATCAAGGTAAATAAGCAAGTTCTAGTTTCATTCTCTATTGGAAGATATAAGGATGAGGTACTTTGTGACGTAGTTCTTATGCATGCTGGACATTTACTTTTAGGGACACCATGGCAATATGATAGGAAGGTAACACATGATGGCTTTAAAAATCGCTATTCATTTGTCATGGAGGGGAAAACAATTACCCTTGCACCATTGAGTCCAAGGCAGGTTTATGAGGATCAACTGAGAGTAAAAAAAGAGAATGAGCTGAGAAATGACAGTGAGCTTGAGGGTATGAAAAACAAAGAGAATACAACAAGAAAAGAGTCCGAAAAAAGAGAAAAGATTGAGAGTGTTGAAAACAAAGAGAGAAAATCAATGAATGTTTATGCAAAAGAAAGTGATGTCAAGGCTGCGTTCTTTGCAAAGTAGCCTATGTTTGTGCTTTTGTATAAAGATGCTTATTTCAACACTAACGAATTTAATGATTTTTTGCCTAGTGTTGCTAAATCTCTTTTGCAAGACTTCAAGGATGCATTTCCAGAGGACATCCCTAATGGTTTACCACCAATAAGAGGAATTAAGCATCAGATTGACTTCATTCTAGGCGCAACAATTCCAAACCAACCAGCATATCGAAGTAACCCTAATGAGACAAAAGAACTTCAAAAGCAGGTTGAAGAACTCATGAAGAAGGGGCATGTGAGAGAAAGAATGAGTCCATGTGCAGTTTCAGTGCTACTTGTGTCTAAGAAGGATGGGACTTGGTGTATGTGCGTTGATTGTCGTGCTGTCAACAAAATCACTGTAAAGTATCGTCACCCTATTCCTAGATTAGATGACATGTTAGATGAACTGCATGGTTCTTGCATATTCACTAAAATTGATTTAAAAAGTGGGTATCATCAGATTAGGATGAAGGAAGGTGATGAATGGAAAATAGCCTTTAAAACGAAACATGGTTTACATGAGTGGTTAGTTATGCCATTTGGATTAACTAATGCACCTAGTACATTCATGCAATTAATGAATCATGTTTTGTGTGCTTTCATTGGCAAATTTGTGGTTGTTTATTTTGATGACATTCTGATATATAGTAAGAGTTTAACTGATCATATTGAGCATCTGCAAATGGTATTAGAGGTTTTGAGAAAGGAAAAGTTGTTTGCTAACCTTAAAAAGTGTTCCTTTTGTACAAATCAGACTGTCTTTTTAGGGTATGTTGTTTCAGCTGATGGAATTGCAATAGACGAAGAAAAGATTAAGGCTATTAAAGAATGGCCAACACCTAAGAATATTTCTGAGGTGCAGAGTTTTCATGGTTTGACAAGTTTCTACCAAAGATTCATCAAGGACATCAGCACAATTGCAGCTTCATTGACTGAAATCGTGAAAAAAAGTGTCGAATTTAAGTGGGAAAGTGAATAGGAGAATGCTTTCAATTTGATTAAGGAGAATTTAATTTCTGCACCATTACTTGCTTTACCTGATTTTACTAAAACTTTTGAAATTGAATGTGATAAATCAAGCATTGGCATTGGCGTTGTTTTGATGCAAGAGCGGCGACCTATTGCGTTTTTTAGTGAAAATTGACTGGTGCAGCACTTAACTATCCTACATATGACAAAGAGATGTACACATTGATAAGGGCCTTAGAAACGTGGCAGCATTATCTTTGGCCTAAGGAGTTCGTGATACATACTGATCATGAGTCATTGAAGCACCTCAAGGGACAAGGTAAGTTGAATAGACGAGATGCTAAGTGGGTGGAATTCCTTGAGACATTTCCCTATGTGATCAACTACAAGCAAGGAAAAGAAAACATTGTGGCTGATGCATTATCTCACAGGTACACACTTATCTCTACTCTAAGTGCAAAGTTATTGGGATTTGAGCACATTAAAGAAATATATGCTAATGATCTAGATTTTGCTAACGTGTTTAATGCATGTGAAAAGGCAGCATTTGATAAGTTTTGTAGGCATGATGGGTTCTTATTTCAAGAACATCGATTATGTGTGCCTAACTGTTCATTAAGAGAATAGTTAATAAGGGAATCACATGTGGGTGGCTTAATGGGACATTTTGGAGTTAGGAAAACTTTAGATATTCTGAATGATCACTTTTTTTGGCCACATATGAAACGCGATGTTGAAAGGATGTGTGAAAGGTGTGTAACATGTAAACAAGCAAAATCTAGAGTTTTACCACATGGTTTGTATACTCCTTTACCCATACCTACTGAACCTTGGGTTGATATATCTATGGATTTTGTTCTGGGCTTACCAAGGTTGAAAAGAGGCCACGATTCTATTTTTGTTGTTGTTGATAGGTTCTCGAAGATGGCACACTTCATTCCTTGTCATAAAACCGATGATGCAACTAATATTGTTTATCTGTTCTTCAAGGAGGTTGTTCGTTTACATGGTGTTCCAAGGACTATTGTTTTTGATCACGATGTTAAGTTCTTGAGTTACTTTTGAAAGACCTTGTGGGAAAAGTTGGGAACTAAGCTATTGTTTTCGACTACTTGTCATCCACAAATTGACGGACAAACAGAAGTGGTTAATAAGACATTGTCAACCTTATTGCGCTCTATTATTCAAAAAAACTTGAAGAATTGGGAAGAATGTTTGCCGCATGTTGAATTTGCTTATAATCGAAGCGTCCATTCAGCAACTAACTGTTCACCATTTGAAGTTGTGTATAGTTTTAATCCACTCACCCCTTTGGATTTATTGCCATTGCCCATTGATGAACGAGCTAGTTTGGATGGGAAAAAGAAAGCTGAAGTGGTTAAGCAACTACATGAGAAGGTGCAACAAAACATAGAGCGACAAACTGAGCAATATGCAAATCAAGCCAACAAAGGGCGCACGAAAGTTGTGTTTGAACCTGGAGATTGGGTTTGGGTGCATATGCGTAAGGAGCGATTCCCTGCACAAAGGAATTCTAAGTTGCAACCAAGAGGCGATGGATTATTTCAAGTGATTACAAGGATAAACGACAACGCATACAAGTTGGAGCTTCCTACTGAGTATAATGTTAGTGCTACTTTTAATGTTTCTGATCTATCTCCTTTTGATGTAGGTGATGATTTGAGGACAAATCCTTTTGAGGAGAGAGGGAATGATGGGAATCAAGATGACCCCACATGTACCACGTCAAGAGATCCATTACACATTCTAGGAGGTCCAGTCACGAGAGTTAGAGCTAGGAAGATGCAAGAAGCTTTAAATGGCCTTATTGAGCAGATTTGGGTTGATAACAACATGCAACAAGTAAATCAAACCTTGGATGATTATCAAGGCATGATAAACATCATTTAGGTTCAAGAGAAGCTTAATTGAGGTCATTTATGCTAAATTACACAATTTGCGTCAAAATCCTACAATTCTATCACAATTTCTAACAAACTGATATTTCATGTTACTTTAGGTTACTTTTAGTATTTTCACATTTTTTATATTATTTTGGGCTAAACATTCATTTATTTGTGGCCCAATTCATGGTTATTATGATTAGGGCTTAAGGTGTTAGTTTCTATTCTAATTAGAATTACTTTTCCCTATTTAAAGGGCTTGTAACCCTAATTGTGGGAAAGCAATTGAATCTGAGTTTTTGAGAGACTTTTCTCTTTGGTTCGTTTCAGAACTTTATAGAACTTATCAAGATTATTCTTGTGGCGTTCTAACCTAACTTATCATTCTCGTTCTTAATCGCTCAATGGTGTGGCGTCAATCGACTTTATACTTTTGGTTCTTGTTGCGTCATAGACAACAGGTCAAGGTTTTTACCTTTGGTTCTTGTTGCGACATAAAAAACGGGTCAAGGTCCTATTATAAACCTGATTTAGTTTTCCTGGAGTTTAGAAATCCCTTGTCGTGTTGTGGGTCTCATTGTTCTCTTTGGGGTTCTCATCAAAAACTCAGATTAAATAGCTTTCCCCCAATTAGGGTTACAAGCCCTTTAAATAGGGAAAAGTAATTCTAATCATAATAGGAAACTAACACCTTAAGCCCTAATCATAATAATCACGAATTGGGCCACAAATAAATGAATGTTCAGCCCAAAATAATATACAAAATGTGAAAATCACTAAAAGTAACCTAAAATAACATGAAATATCAGTTTGTTACAAATTGCGACAGAATTGTAGGATTTTGACGCAAATTGTGTAATTTAGCATAAATGACCTCAATTAAGCTTCTCTTGAACCTGAATGATGTTTATCATGCCTTGATAATCATCCAAACTTTGATTGACTTGTTGCATGTTGTTATCAACCCAGATCTACTCAATAAGGCCATTTAAAGCTTCTCGCATCTTCTTAGCTCTAGCTCTCGTGACTAGACCTCTTGGAATATGTAATGGATCTCTTGACGTGGTACATGTGAGGTCATCTTAATTCCCATCACTACAAAAATAAATGAAATGGAATTAGTAAGATCAAATGAAAATAGAAAAGCATCAAAAGAAAACAAATATATATATAATCAAAGTTTAGGATTCATCCAATTTTTCATAATAACCTACAAAAAAAAATGTTAGTAAAACAAGAGAAAATAAATAAATTTAAAAACATAGATATAGAAAATATAGTGAAGAAGTTCAAAGAAAAATGGAAGAAATAAGAGGGAAGGGAAAGGAACAAAACAAAAAGAAAGAGGAAGAGTTGAGAATAATGACAAGAAGAAGGGAACAAAAAGGATAGGAAGAGTGGGGCAACACAAAGATGAGGGAAAAAAGAGAAAATAGAAGCATGAGAGAAAGAAGAAAGGGGAACCAGAGAGCAAACGGGGAAGAGGAAAAGGATAGCATAGAAAAGGCAGACAGGAAAATTCTATGGAAGAGGTAGCAGGCATGGAAATATATAGGCAAACTTATTTAAGACCGTAATTAGTTCGTAATAAATTAAATTTACTTTTGTCTCTTAGAATGAAACTTTCAAAAGTTATGGAAATTTTTGGTGGTTTATTATTTCATATCATTATTAGTCTAAATAATGCCCAACGAAAAAGGCACTAAATATATTTGGACCAACTTTGGTTCGTATAACTCTTAAATAAAAAAGACTTGAAATAAACATAAAAGATAAAAATATATTTAATTAAAAAAGAAAGAAAAATAAGGTTATATTCGGACCACTGTTGGTTCAAATATGTTGAGTAGAATCCCTTTGTTTCCCTGACACCTCAAACCATGCTCAATTCGTTTTACCCCCGTTTGAACAACAAGATCTAAAAGGCTTAAATACCATAGAGTCTATCCTTAAAATTAACAATATGAAACCAAAGGGTTTGTGGTTTTGGAATGGCATGTCATAACCTTAAAGTTAATGATTTTAACTCCATGCATTTGTTGTTTCGCCAAGATGTTGTCTTACATCACAATAAACCAATTTTAGGAGACTAACTAATGGTGCCAGGTTCCGAGGTTATGGGAGACTATAGTAGTGAAGTGCACACAGTTGGCTTTAGTAGAAATGGAATTGGGGCTTGGGAAAGCCTTATTGTCCTTAAACAAAAAGATTGGAAAAGTTTGAGAAGAGAAGCTTTTAGATTGTAGGCAACATATTCGAGCCATAGTTGGCCTAAATAAGTTTTCTAGACCATCAGTGGTTCGAATATGTTGAACAAAATCTTTTTTTTCCCTGACATCTCAAACCGTGCCTGATTCATTCTACCCCCATTTGAACAATAGGATCTAAAAGGCTTGAATATCATAGAGTCTATCCTTAAAACTAACAATACAAAGCCAAAGGGTTTATGGTTTTGCAATGGTGTGGCATAACCTTAAAGTTAATGATCTCAACTCCACACATTTGTGGTTTTGCCATGATGTTGTCTTATGTCACTATAAACCAATTTCAAGCAACTAGTTAATGGTGCTGGGGTTATGGATGACTATAGTAGTGAAGTGTATGTAGTTGGCTTTGCTAGAAACAAAATCGAGACTCGAGAGAGCTTTATTGTCCTTAAATGAAAAGACTAAAAAAGTTTAAGAAGAGAAGCTTCTAGATTCTAGGCAACGTATTCAGACCATAGTTGGTTCGAATAAGTTTTCTAGACCATCAATTGTTCGAATATGTTGAGTAGAATCCTTTTTTCCTTGACACCTCAAACTGTGCCTGATTCGATCTACCCTCATTTGAACAATAGGATCTAAAAGGCTTGAATACCATAGAGTTTATCCTTAAAACTAACAATACGAAGCCAAAGGGTTTGTGGTTTTGCAATGACATAGCATAACCTTAAAGTTAATGATCTTGACTCCACACATTTGTGGTTTTGCCATGATGTTGCCTTATGTCATTGTAAACTAATTTCAGGCGATTAGTTGGTGGTGCCAAGGTTTGGGGTGACTATAGTAGTGAAGTGCACACAGTTGGTTTTGGTGGAAATAGAATTAGGGCTCCAAAGAGCCTTATTGTCCTTGAATGAAAAGATTGAAAAAGTCTGAGAAAAGAAGCTTCTAGATTCTAGGCAACATATTTAGACCACAATTGGTCCAAATAAGTTTTCCAGACCATCAGTGGTTTGAATATGTTGAATAGAATCCTTTTTTTCCTTGACACCTCAAATCGTGCCTTTTTCATTCTACCCCCGTTCAAACAATAGGATCTAAAAGGCTTGAATACCATAGAATCTATCCTTAAAACTAACAATACAAAGCCAAAGGAGTTGTGGTTTTACAATGAAGTGGCATAACCTTAAAGTTAATGATTTCAACTCCACACATTTGTGGTTTTGCCATGATGTTGTCTTACGTCACTGTAAACCAATTTCAGGCGACTATAGTAGTGAAGTGCACGCAATGGGCTTTGGCAGAATGAAATCAAGGCTTGAGGAAGCCTTATTGTCCTTAAATGAAAAGACTGAAAAAAGTTTGAGAAGAGAAGCTTCTAGATTCTAACAACACATTCAGACCATAGTTGGCCCCAATCAGTTTTCTAGATCATCAATGGTTTGAATATGTTGAGCAAAATCCTTTTTTTCCTTGACACCTCAAACTGTGCTTGATTCATTCTACCCCTGTTTGAACAACAACATCTAAAAGGCTTGAATACCATAGAGTCTATCCTTAAAACTAATAATATGAAGCCAAAGGGTTCATGGTGTTGCAATAGTGTGGCATAGCCTCAAAATTAATGATCATAACTCCATGCATTTGTGGTTTGGCATGATGTTGTCTTATGTTACCGTAAACCAATTTTAGGTGACTAATTGATGGTGTCAGGATTAAGGGCAACTATAGTAGTGAAGCCTACACAATTGGCTTTGGTAGAAACAAATCAAGGCTTGGGAAAGCCTTATTGTCCTTAAACGAAAAGAATGAAAAAGTCTGAGAAGAGAAGTTTCTAGATTCTTGGCACCATATTTGGACCATAGTTGGTTTGAATACATTTTCTAGACCATTAGTGGTCTAAATATGTTGAATATAATCTTTTTTTTTTTTTCCTAACACCTCAAACTGTGCTCAATTCATTCTACTCTTGTTTGAACAATAGGATCTAAAAGGTTTGAATACCATTGAGTCTAACTTTAAAACCAATAATATTAAGCCTACATGTTTTTGGTTTAGGTAGAAACAAACTTGGAACTTAGGAGAGTGGTGTTGTCCTTAAATAAAAAAATAAAAAATAAAGTATGAGACTATATTGTTTCCATTATATTAGGACCATTGATGATCCAAATAACATTTCCAAATCATCTGTGGTCTAAATATAATTGGCTAGTTAATAACAATGCAAATATTGCTTAACCCAGCACCATGAAAAAAAGGGGGAAAATATCAACATCATGAAAATGTATTTGGACCAAAGGTAGTTTGATTAATTTTTCTGCACCGTATGTGGTTTGAAAATCATTTTCCAATTGATAAAAATGCAAAGATTGCTCATCTTGGCACCATGAAAAAATGGAAAAAAAGTAGCACAAGTATTAAGGGGGTGTGATTATGGCCAAGTGTAAAGGATGTTTAATTTTTTCAAATTATTATTATTACTATTTTAAGAAATATAAAAGTTTCTTCATAATAAAACATGCTATAAAGTGGACAACCAAGAAAGACACAAATATGCTAGAATAGAGAGATAATAATGGCCATTTATAACAATATTTTGTCATCATTTTACAAATGTATAAGTTTAACGTCTTATTTGTTGTAAAATGAGGCCTATAAATGTGGTGTCCTGGGAGTAGTAGTGCCACTAGTAAAAGGAGGAGTCATGCCAAGTTGCTAGTACAAGAATTGTAAATTTTCAGTTAAAAACAAATTTGATGCTTGTATAGCAGCAAACTCAGCTCCAGATGCTTGTAGCTCAACTTTAGTCCCTTGTAACTCTTCCCTCAGTAATTGAATAGTTTTTTGTAACTCCTCAACCTTGGAAAAGTGCTGCATCATTGGTGGCCTCGAAGGCTCTAGTTG